CACACACACACACACACACACACACACACACTCACATACACACACAATTTTTCTTCTAAAGTCAATAATGAGCCTAATGTTAAATTAAAATGTTGAAAATTTTGGAATTAACTGACTAGACTTAGCCTGGTAAAAATCAGATCCTTGTCCTTCACTTTGTTTTGTACGAGGGTCTGGACTCGCAGCTACAGAGGAACGATTCTTGCTGGAGGCGTGGCCTCTGCTGAAGTTTAAAATGATTGGATCGGTTGGCCACGACGTAAGTCGCTGTGAAAGAGGCTAGGCTAAGAAGCTAACATGAAATTGCGTGGGCTGTAAAAAACCCTACTGAGAGGAGAAATGTACCGACCCGAACGAGACGACTAAATGAGAGCTGCTGCTTTATCAGACAAATTTTATTTCAATTGGAAGCCTTATCAACATTGACTGGCTTCATTCACTTCCTCCACTGCCATTGATAAAATAACTAGCGGACACTACAGAAAATCGACGTTCTGTTCTCTGATTGGACGAAAATTCTCCCAAAGAAATCCTTGTTTATGGGAGAAATTCTAGACGTAGCAGTGAATGGAAACTACTACACAGGTGTGATGGAGTGAGTTCAATCCAATGGGATGCCAGAATGGTACATATTTACACTTCTCATCAACCACAATCAAATTCACTCTATCCATGTGTCTGGATAGATTTATATATATTAATTTTTTTCTGAACAATGAAAAGATGGAATGGAAACAAGTCAAAGTTAAATAGAAATGAAATACTTTTTGCATTTTTAAAAAGTAAAGAGTAGAAAGTACAAATAATTGAATTAAAATGTAAGAAGTAGAAGTAAAAAGTAGGCTGAAAAATAATTACTCCACTAAAGTATAAATAACCAAAATTACTACTTAAGTAAAGTAACAAAGTATTTGTACTTAGTTGCTTGACACCTCTGCTCCTCTCAGACCAGAGCGTTTGCCTCAGCAGCATCCAAAGCCCCAGCTCATTTGTCCCACTGACTCCCCTCAACTGCCTTTGGAGTCCTACCAACTCACAAGGCCAGGGCTTCTTCTTCAGATTGATGGCTTCCCTCACCATCGGTGGACATCACAAGAACAACCTTGTGGCCACAGCTCAGGACATCTGCATCGACTATGGAGCAAACATGTCACCTGCCTCCTCTGGAAGCTGAAGATCTTTCTGACGAGGTCTTCAGCCAGGCCTCCCAAACAAATTTTCATGACACATTTGGGTTTACTGGGACTGTTCAGCATCTTCTACTGCCACCTGATCTACTCACCACCAGGTGGTGATCCACTGACAGCTCAGCTTCTCAAGTTTTAAAACACACAGCAGCAATCAGATGGCACCACCACAACGTCTCTTATTGATCTACATGCCTGCAGAGTTTGGTATCATATCCACTTATGGAGACTCTTGGGGTTTGTTAAGTCAAACCGTGGTTTTCTGTGGTTAAAGTCAGCTAACAGACCACTGATCAGGTTTGATTCATAAAGGCAGTTATTCCCAGTCACAACCCTCCCGATTAAATTGTGGCTATGCAAGTGGCTGCTGAAGCAGTATTCTAGAACCCTCAGCTGGAGCACCTTTCAGCACCCCCCATAAGGACTCCAAGAAGCCCAGGTACTCTGAACTTTCATTTGGCGCAAAGCCACAAACAACAGTTAGTCTGTCCCCCACCTAAACCCACAAGGAGTGAGTCAAAACTCAAAGGATAGCCTTTTATTTCAGAAACAAAAGGGAAAATGACATCTGAATACCTCAACAAGTAGAACTGAATAATCTTTATTGTTGTTGCACAAGCCTGTAGAACGAACTTGAACAACTGAAGTGACGAGTAAGGGGACTCATGCATAATTATCAACAGTTTTTTTGACAATTGAACATTTCTTGAACATCAGTTAGTTTTTTTTTTTTAATTGATCCATATCAGTCATTTTATCTTTAAACTTTTCTATCTGAAAGCATTGTTTCAGTTGTACTTTTCTGGAATATCCGGAGGTGAATCAATGCACTTGGAGCATCTCAGTAAAAGATTAAATACATTATTAAGAAATTAATCTTGTTATGTAGTACAGCCGTCTCATGTTTTGGTTTATTTTCTCATAAAGGTTGTAGTATTTGATCTTTAGTTTGGTTTTAGAGAACAACAGTTTATGTCTTTGTTAAATTTGTTTAGTTTTTCTTTCCTGATTAGAAACAAACTCTTCTGAATAACCCCGTCTGCTGTGTGTCTGCTGTGAGCATGACCTCCATGCCTGTTTCTTCTTCCCGTTAACCCCCACCACCACCTCCTCCTCCTCCCACCTAAAGGTTTCTCACCAACCATTCCTCCTTCCTCTTCCTCACTGTTTCCCCTCCTCCTTCACCCCCATCAGCACCGGCTTCAACCCCAGCATGCTGAAGGACTCCCACAAACCCATAGAGGTGAAAGGTCCCGGCGGTAAGGCCACCATCATTCACGCTCAGTACAACACGCCCATCAGCATGTACTCACAGGACGCAATCATGGACGCCATTGCGGGCCAGTCGCAGGCCAAAGGGCACGACGTCAGGTAGGAACACTGCCGCCTCTTCCTGTTCTCCTTTTATTATTTTTTATTTTCTAATGTTCAGATCTTCCTCTGCTTTTCCTCACCATCCTTTCCTGCCTGCATTTTTACTCAGATATTTGAAGACTTTGAGTTGTCTTCTCTCTTCCTCTATTTTTTTATTCCTTCTTTGTGTTTCTTTCTGACTTTGATGTTGACTAACTCAGAAATAATCCTTGTGTTATCCACTCCTTTCTTTTACCACTATCCTCACTTTGCTGTAAAAATCTATTTTTGTCACAGTAATTGTCAGATTATTGGTTTGAAGCTGTTTGGTTATGGTTTAATGGACATTATCAGCTGTGTGTGTGCAGCCTGTTTGCTTTTATAATTGTCGTCCTGCGAAAAATTGCCATCTTGACTCTAAGCAACATTATTAAATTCAAGTATGTGGTGATCACCAAACGATTGGTCAGTTTTATTCAGAAATAGGAACCAGTTTGTTCTTTGGGTTTTGTTTCTTGATGCCTGTTGTTGTTTTTGGTTGGATTGCGTAGCAGAAGTCATGTTGGAAAAGTGTTTTGTGCTGATTACTAAAGGACACAAGCAATCAATTTTCTATTTTCTTCTGAAATGACTTGGACAGATGTTTGTGCACAGAAAAAATATCTTTATTGACCCTGTATAGAGGAAATTTGAAGCCTCTGAAAACATTTTTACAGCCAGTCTTCAATTTGTCTCTTTGTGAACCATTCAGTAGTTAAAATGGGAGCCTGAATAAAGTCGTGTCTTTGAACTCTGGTGAATTGGTCTGAACAAACAAAAGCTGTTTTCACATCATCATCTCTCCGTCTTTAAAATAAATAACTAAAAGACAAAATCTGTTTTGTTTTCCTGAATGTTTAGCTATCTAAGTCACTTAAAAGTACAGTGGTGCTCTGACTTTTGTGAAGCTTGTAATTCAAACTACTCGGATGTAAAATCATTTTACTTCATAGAAATTGAAGTTCAGTTCATCTGTTCTGGACACCTCTTAAAACATCATAGTTTTTTGTTACACGATTTAAATAAGAAAAATGTACTTATAAATAAGAAATACTGTATAAAAACAATACAACAGAATGCACTGCAGTAAACTGGTTTTAGTAAACACTGTATAATGTGCAGCATTTACCTTAGAGATTAAATGACTTCAGGATGCTGACTGAAGTGGACGAGAGAGGTCGAGATGAATAACTGAATTATTTTTTCACTGATTTTTGCCCTCATTTTCTTCAGATCAATGGTTGGAAAAACAAAGTTTAAAAAAAATAACTGCGACTAAAACATAAATTCTTCCACTGCGAGCTAACTGCTTAAAGTGAACAAGTGAGACACAGAAAGCTGGGTGGGTGTTGTTGTGTTCAATGTTTGCTCGGCCAACTAGAGGTGGAGTGTCTAAGGCTGGCTAAAAACTCCAATTTTAGTTCTCTGTACAAAAAAAGATAAAGATTTTGTGTCTATTTTCTTGTTTTTAGCCTATTTTATTATACAGCGTGAGTCAAAAGACACAGGACACCCTTTTATTTTAGAAACAAACAGGAAAATATCTGAATACCCCTGCAAGTAATTGGTGAGGGGACCTACCTTTTAAGCTGTGTCCAGAACATGGCCGCCATCTTGAAAGCCACCACATTGGATCAAAGTCAGTTTTTTCCAGTGAGAAGGTGGTCATTTAGCATATCAAAAAAGACCAGGGGTCAGATTTATAAAACTGGCGTACGCACAATATGAGCCCAGAAACTTTCGTACACCACTTTTTACACCGAGGTTGTGATTTATAAAATCCAAACTTGACATGAAAATGTGCGGAGCCTCACGCCAGCTCTGACCCATGCGGACGCTCGTTTTGGAGACGTGAAACTGCGACACAGATGGTGAAGTGAGGAATTAGAGCCACACTGTGTAATGATCACTGTCAGATATTTAATTTACCTTCATCAGACTTAGATTTTTATTCAGCTTTGTCATCAGCTTTCTTAACAGTAATATTTATGCTTCTGTTGCTGCTGAGCCATGAGGACCTTTGAAATAAAAAACTTAAATCTTAAATAAAAGTTCCCGTGCGCAAATCCCTTCATCTGCTTCTTCCTCAGATGACCCTGACCCACAAAGACCTCTCCCTGACCCACAGACCCCTCTCTGACCCACAGACCCCTCTCTGACTCACAGACCCCT